CGTGGGGACGTCCTCCCGTGGGCCCACCACCTGCAGGAGGATCCGTAAGGGGCCGGTGCACAGTGGATTGGGCAGCAGTCAAAGGCAGGGGCCCAGACGACCCGATCTCTGGACACACAAACTGGCAAAATGATTTATCAGTTAAACCACATGGACAGGGTATTAGATGAGATGTGACCATGGTTGTTTAATAAATTTTAGGCCAAGAGAGAATTGTTCTTTGAAAAGAACTTGTGCATTGTTGCAAAGAGTTAACAGTTCAGACAGCTAGTGAATGTCGAAAGGTCAACACAGAGACACTTTTAGGCTTCTACCATAATCGTAGAGTTTGAGGGGTTAGATGTTTTATTAAAATGACCCTTATACTGCATTTCTGTTACAGTGTGTAACTTAAGGCAGCACCAAATGAACCTCCAAATCAATCCCCTCTTCTCCGCCCAGCCCTCCCTCCCTGCTCCACTACGATCTGCCCAGCTCTTCAGATATGTGTCATTATGAAATTACAAGAAACTTACTGATCAAGCAGAAATCATTGAAAAGCTCTGACTGGTTAGAGAGGTCAATCCTGCTCAAAACCATTAGAAGCTGATATCTTTGCACTGCTGCCAGTGCTGTTCAACGGGTCTGGGTCACAGGAGGCTTCAGCAGCACCTCTCCACATTAACACAAGTTTTGGAGTAGATTTCTACAACTAAATTATTTGAAAAAAAGTTACATACTGTAGATTTAAGTTATTCCAGTGACCTCAATGACCCCCACCCCCCATTAAATAGCTGCTGTTTTGACAGTTACATTCTCATATGTAACAGAGAAGATAATACACATGCTGGTTGTCAGCTTTCATGAGTCTATGGAATTAACAGTCAAGAGCAAAAGACCACAGCTAAAATAATGAAAGGATTTACTTTACTGACCTTCTACTTTGTGACCCCAACACCTCTTACCCTTCCCATGTCCCCCTCAGCTTCCCTCAATCCCTCCCTTCTTTTCTCTCTCCACAAGCTATAAATCACCTCGCTCACTCATTAGACCGGTGTCAGGGCCGAAACGCCCACCGGGACTGAGGAAAAACGGCCGCAGGCCTGAGAAGAAACGAAGGATGAAAGGGAGAGGCATCATTTAATGCTCTGTTCTTTTATTCCAAAACACAACACACTAATTTCCATGTTAATTTGCCTTGTGACAGCAGAGATGGATGTTTGTGACTTCTTGGCTGATGTGATGCATACATAGAGAAGGTAAAATGAAGCCATTATGTAAGCAATGAGGTCAATGCATGTTAGTGGCTTGTAAGGTTACAAAATGTTCAACATTTAAGTCATGCTCTAAAATGATCAATTTTCTCCCCTTTATTTTTATTAACATCTGAAAGATCTAACATCAACATTATGTTCAATATGTGCAGATACAGGAATATACGGCCTTTGGATGAACAGACGGTTAGCTTAAACAGTGCTCCATGCAAACACACCATGCTGACCACCATAGTTCTATCAGCATTTTTTATAAACTAACGCCCCAATATCTTTTAATATAGCTATTGTACCTGCTCTTTAGAAAGAAAATCATTTCCAAGAGTTTTAACAGAGCTACTCTATCAAATTTCTTTTCAGCCCCTAGAAGGTCTAAGTGAGACTCAAACCAAACCAACTGCTCTTTGGCGCAACAACATAAACTACATACATTACATCTGGTTGCCAGAAACTACAAAATGCAGTGGCCAGTCTGATACTAGCGTTAGTTTTATAACAAATATATGTGTCAGTCCAGCAGAACGCTGTGGTTACTGCTTCACTAATGTGACACAAAGCTGAAGTTGTTCTAAAATTAAAGTCATGTTACAGTTATTCAAGACAAAGGTAAACTTATGACCATACTAGGTTGCTAATGTTGCTAAAACAACCACATTAGCTTTTGATGCTAACACATCTAGAAGGAAGAACGCCACATCTGAATCAAATTTAACCCCTGTGGCTGCTTTTGAAGGGTTGCACCTCGTGTGCATGCAGACACAGACACAGACAAAGGACATGCATTCTTCAAATCGAGGGGCTGCCTTCTGTCTATGTATGTTGATGTTTTCCAAGCACAGTGCTACATGCACAGTCGAGGCTTTGCTGTGCAGACATCTGCGTGGACCCTCACTCACCTGGGAATATGACGAAAATTGTCACACTTAAGATCAGATCGCATTTGCCTCATTGATGAGTCTTCGTTGTGCTCTTGGGGTCATTTTGACTGGGCGCCCCCTTCTTGGTAGAGTAGCCACATGTCTCTCCATTTGTAGATCGTTTGCCTAACTGTAGACTGGTGAATTTTTAAAGTCTTTGAAATCATTTTATAACCCTTTCCAGCTTTATGTAAATCAACAATTCTTTATCATATATCTTCTGAAAGCTCTTTTTGGCGAGGCAGGGCTCACATAAGCATATTTTTCTTGTGTGGATCAAACTCAAAACGTTTGAGTGGTTTATATCAGTCAAAGTAGCTCTAGTCCACACCTCCATTTTCTTAACAAGACTCCAGGTAACACCTGACTCCAATTAGCTTGTTTGAGGTCATTAACTCAAGGGTTCACATACCTTTTCCACTAGTACTATGGTTTTTATGGTTGTCTTCAATAAAGACATGAAAGATCTGTGTTGTGTTGTTGTATTAGGCACATTATATTCGTCAGTACTCTTGACTTAGAGTAAGATCACGCCACATTTTATTACAAATTAATGCAGAAAACCATGAAATTCCAAAAGGTTCACATACTTTTTCTTGCCACTGTATATGAGTGGAGGTTGAACTATAACAACTCAGTGATTTCAGATGGCTACATCTTACATCTTAATGCTAAATGACTGAACACAACAAGGTGCACTGACAGTAAATGTAGTGTAAAGTGCTACAAGGGATTGTTTCATGACAGGGATCATATCCCCTGATGCTGGACTGGCAGGTATACTGTATAATAAAGCTGGAAGTCCAGCTAATAATACTCACACACCACTGCCCACGTCTTTATGTCTGGCCTTAGAACGGTAATTATCCATTTGGTAAAAATACAGGCTCTAGGAAAGACAGTAAATCTACATGTTTGTGTTAATGTGTGTGTGTGTGTGTGTGTGTGTGTGTGGTTTCAGGTCATGACAAATATGGGTCAGTGGTTTGCTAGAATGCTATATAAAGCTGGTATTTTGGCATACACCAAAATCTGATCTGTGATGCACAAATCCCAGGGACAGTGCGTATATGTACATTTGTGTGTGTGCATGTGTACATATTAACTAATAAGACAAGCAGACACAGAGCAGTGCCTGGTTCATTAACTGGCAGCCTCTACAGTCTGTGGTCTGGTCTGAGTGTGTGCTGCTGAGTGGTGCTTCATGTAAAAACATATGGCCTTTAGTTAGGGAGAGAGATTAGGGATAATCCCTGTTGCAGTCCAGTATCCACACACACACACACACACACACACACACACACACACACACAATCCAGTACTTGCTGCACTGCATAGAGACTGTGAATGGCGCATAGTGTGATAGCTGAACATCGTTTAATCAGAGCTTGATGTTTGTGCTTAGAAAGGCTGGGTTCATGTTTTCAGGCTGCTTTGACTTTACTCCTAACTGCAGGTTTGCTAGACATCATCTCACAATAACTGCAAATCAGGCTGATTAATCTTTAAAATCTTTAAGCTCCAAATCCATTCTTTCATATTTTTGCAGAGAAACAAAGCCAGTTTGCCTTTTGAAAAGAAAAAACAAACGACCCCTCTACTGCACATGATTTTTTGTATTTTTTCAGTAATTATGGGCTGGTTTTGGTTTTTGACTACTCTGCACATAAATTCTGATCCTGGCACTGTTACTCATGTGCAGCTTATAAATGAAACACAGCAAAGCACTTCTTAGGTCAACATTACTATTCTCAACCCAGACACTTTGAAAAAACTGTGATATGCTTTGCAGCTGCATGACAAGCACTCGTGCCAAACACAAAGCCATTCTGAGGAAATCACATAAGATTTACTGTAAGAGTATCTGCTGGGCCTCACGGCTTTTCTCCTTTGATACTCATGCAACTCAGGCAAGCTTTATCTGAAATATGAAACAAGAAGGTTGTGCAAATAACTGGCTTTAATGAGGGAAACTCAACATGAAATCTTAGGAGTTCTCTTGGAGAGTGAATACAGTACCTTGCAATAGTATTCATATGCTTTGAACTTTTCCACATGTTGTCACGTTACAACCACAAACATTTTCCTTCCACTTCACAATTATGCGAGACTTTGTGTTGGTCTATCACACAAAATCCCAATAAAATACATTTAAGTTTGTGGTTGTAACACGACAAAATGTGGAAAACTTCAAGGGGTATGAATACTTTTGAAAGGCACTGTATTTGTTACAGTTAAAAATGATACTTTCCCTGTTTTGCTAACAGAGACTAAGGTTTAATTATTGTTTCAAAAGAGTTTTTAATTATAAGTCATTATGACACACTGCAGCATTGTCTTGATTGGTCAAGCCAAACAGATGAGACCTAAACACCACCTTCCTGCTCTGTATAACCATTAAGAACAGCAGGGGGCAATTTCAGCCCACCCCACAGGACATGGAGGGGCAGTGCATAATGTAAAGACACTCGACTTCCCTGTAAGGCCACCTCCTCCTGCACCCGACAGCCAAGTGATAACAGTCTGTTTCTTTTATGACGAATGTCATGGGCAATGCTTTACTTCATTCAGATACTGCTAACAAAGTGTAACAAGGTTGGCATGACAAAGGAGGTCCTTGCAAAATGTAAAACTTGATTTCAATCAATTGAAAGATTTTATTCAAAACCATAAAATGTGTGTAATGTGTACAAAACATGCACATTCTTAAAAAATGTAAAACTGATGTTGCTACCATTAGTGAACTTATATATAACTATGCATGCGACACTTTTATTTATAATACTTTCTGTAGAATTCATATTAAAATTCAACTTATTTAAAGGTAAAACCTTAAGTTAGTTCAATTAAATTGTTTAAAAATATTTTCTAATTTTGCTATTCTAAACTATAGTACAATATATTTTGTTTAATGCTAACTGTATATGGCTAAAGGATGCACAAGACAAAAATAATCTTATAAAAGATCCTCAGAATGCAAATGAAATCACCAAAGGAAAATGATTTGGAATGTGTTTAAAATTCATTAAATAACATTTGTAGAATATGTGGCATATTTACATTTGATCAGTGAGTCAGTCTGTACAGAAACACTATGCTACACTGACTTCTCCCTTAATCAAATCCTGCAACAAACATGAAAATACCAAACAAATGTGTACTGGGAGGAAAACTCTGGCACTGTGTGTTTCCAGCCTAATGACTGCTTTCTTACTGTCTCACATCCTGTCTTTGTGCCTTTCTGGTCTTTTCAAAACACACTGGCTGAGAACATCCCAAGGGAAGTATCTCATTATCTGCCTTTCTAATGAGAGAAGAGGCTGCGGAGAGGGGAAAAACTTGAGCAACTCAATAGAAGTCATTTGAAGGATACAAAATAGCAGCTGAACTGCCCTGAGGTAAACTGAGAAAACTACTATAGACAGACTACTACAGAGGTGTCCCAAACATCAAGGAGTTAGCTCTGATTATATTTCAAATCCAGATGTTCATCTATTACTGTCAGAATTATTCAGATCTCAAACCTGCTTCTAGCACTTTCAGAAACAGAAACCAATAACTGTTGCAGCACAGTGTCTGCCCCCTTCTTGTCTTGCTGTTCTGTTTCTGAAGTTGTCAACACTCAGTTGTGTTACTGCTGTCACTATCCTAGCAGCATCCTTAGGTGTCAAAGGGGCTGGTGTTTCTGCCAGGATAGCAGGTTCTGTACTGAGCCTCCATTTCCTCCACCCAGGCCATGCTCCAGTCCCACACAGGAACAGGCTCCAGGTCCACGGCTGACTCCCCTTCTGCACACAATGATGGATACAAGGCACTGAGGGGTGAAGCTGGTGGAGAGAAATCTAGGCAAAGAGAACAGCGTGTTGATATGCATCTCGATACTGAGTGTCCGAAGTGCATTAACACAGAGACTGTATTGTCTTTGGAAAATAAGGAATCACTTTGCAGATCTCTGAGCTGCACCTTTCACGCTGATTCTCTGGGCAAAAAAGTACATTTAGCATCTTCTTTGAAGCAGCTGTCTGTCACTGAAAATACAACCATTCAATTATGTCGGAGGCACTGAGACAACAGTGCTGTAGTCACTCTCTGGATTCTAAACGCAATGGCACATTTCAAAAGTCCTCAGAAAATGTAGCTGTCCAAGAACTTGGAGCAGAACAGTACAAGCTAGAGGTCTGTAGCACTGCACCCCGATCTGAACCAGTGTTTCCATGTCATTAGTTTGCACTGTTTTCATCCTTCCAGCCAGGTCTCTACATAAACACATTCAAACCCAGTGTGGAGAGTTACGCATTTTGTTTTGGTAAATGTAAATTGGAATATTTTTTTAATTGCTGACAAGACAACTCACAACATTCTGCATATAACTTGAGGGGGAAAAAATAACGTCTGCCTTTTGTTCATGCTAAGGCCCATTTAATATGTATTCACACAAACAACTGTTTTAATTTCTCATTTGATGCATCTGATTCTCCTGATTTTAAAGATGAACAGTGGTCACAGCTGTGGGTCACCAAGTTCCCATTAGTTGGTAAGAAGGTTAGTGTCGTTTCATCTGATCCAGGGGTCTGGGCTTATCAAACTTTAATGTCAGCCATTGTAAGACTGCATTAACAGCTGCAGAGATAACACTTAGGGCTTTTCACACTGTGCATTGCTGTATGAGTGAAAAATAGCCAAGGCAGAAACAGCCAGAAGTGAGTTTGGAAAATGGAATCAAGCTGAATGGTGCCTGCAGAGGGAGAGCAGAGTGACTGATGAGGTGACGCTGGGAGAAAGGATGACTCATCTGGAGATTCAGATTGCTGAAAGGCCCTAAGTAATTGCCTCGTTCCACCTTAGATATTAGACATGCACAATCACTGACACAGGCACTGAGGGAAAACTACTGTATGTGCACATATTCTTATATGATCACACACACATGCTAGACAGGAGTACTATTCTCCAAACAGTTTTTATTAGGAACCTGAACATGATAAGAACACTCATAACTATAACGATATCATGAGTTTCATGTGTTTGGCAGAGTTCCTTCCTAAACCCAGTCTGCCTGCAGGGCTGCATGACACCAGCTGGGAACATTCATAGCCAGGGGGCTCCATCTAGTGGAGGAATGCAAGAAGCACAGACGGGATCCTGAGTTTGAGGAGCTTCATTCTGTAAGATGACACTAGCCATTCTTAGTGAAAGAACGAACACCATTGTCTTTCTGCAGTGGTTTGATATATGAAAAAAATGTCCCACAGTAACAAAACAACAAAGTTGCTCAGAACCCTCTACTGCACCATGTTGCCTCTACACAACAAAGTTATACAATGACATGCTACATATTTTAGTCTAGTGGGGGTGGCACGGTGGAGCAGTGATTGTCGCCTGACAGCAAGAAGGTTCCAGGTTCGAGCTCCGGCCGACCCAGGGCCTTTCTGCATGTAGTTTGCATGTTCCCCCTGTGCCTACGTGGGTTCTCTCTGGGTACTCCGGCTTCCTCCCACAGACCAGAGACATGCAGCTTAGGTTAACTGGTGACTCTAAACTGGCCGTAGGAGTGTGTGTGTGGTTTGTCTACATGCTGGCCCTATGATAAACTGGTGACCTGTCCAGGGTGGACCCCGCCTCTCACCCAATGTCAGCTGGGGATAATAGATGGATGGATGGAAGTTAGACTAGTAATGGCGGCAGAAGATTAATCGACCAATAAAATGCTTTTCTAGGGTCACAACATCTTTGGCTAACCATATTTAAATACTTTTGTGACGACACATGTCAGTGCTCTGCTGGAATTTTGACCCCCCCATAAAATATTTATCACACTTACTGGTGAATCAACTTCAGTTCTGAACATTTAATATCATTTTAATAACTTGTAATTTATCAAAAATGCCTAAAGGCATCATTGTATGAAAGTGGTGAATTTAGACTTGAGTGTAAGTCACTTGTGTAGCCACCTGACAGTGGAGCCATCATTAGTAATGAGTCACTGAATTATCTGTTAGAACCATTTCAATGTTTTTGCATATGTGAAGATGGTATTATTTCTGCTATATATGTTTTCAGTATTTATAGATAACGATGCACTGGCGTCAGTTGCTGCCTGCACTGTTTCACGATGCAAGAAAAAAGGTGCATGTAGCTATCCCAGTTCAGGGGAGTGAGGATGAGTGAAAGTGAGAGAGAGAGCAAACACCTGTGATATGATGATGATGTTGCAGGGACAGGTGAGAATTAAAGCAAATAAATTCCTGAATAATAAGTCAGCTGTCCTAAAGTAGCTGGTATCCTACATCAACAGTTTTTAGAAAAACATGAACTTTAATTCCAGTTGTTTTGATGAATAAACCTTCCGTGTCCTTTTGAGTTTGCTTCCATTGTTGCACAGTGTAGCCTCAGGACACATAACATTTATTACATGTGCCCAAGGAATGTTTCAGCATCACTTACAGACATAAATACTATACTCTACACAATACTCAGCCTATCAGGACAAAGGAGGCCAAGACCACAGGCTCCTGTATTGGGCAGTGGATTAATTTAGATGGAAAACAACTGGAAAATAATTGATTTGTTTTAATCCAGAATGTCAAACAAAAATACAAACCGAGGTGCAGTGGTAAGGATTCATACACCACGGTGCACACATATGCACCTCGTAGCTGATGCACTGCAGCGTGCACGCAGCCATCCCTGTATCGGAGCACAAAACAAAAAGGAATGGACTGAGGTATGTGATGGGGACCAAGTAAAGTTTCTGAATAGCAGCGATGATCTTATTTTGACTCAAACATGACTGACTCCTGTAGATGGACATAAGAAAACTCTTTAGAGGAGGAAGAGACGGGGAAGAAGTTCGGGGATGGGGATGAGAGGTGCGACCTGGCTGTAGCTGGTAAACAAGGTGGAATTAGTTTTGTTAACTAGTATGTAAGCATGTGCGGATGTTGAATGTAATGTAAATTAGAGCTCTGTCCATCAGTGCATGTGATCAGTTGGAACGCTGTTTATCGGTGTACTACATGAAATAAAATGAATGTTGTATAATACATCACATGTAGTGGTCTATGTTAATGTTGAACTATTCATTCTGCATTTAATGAACAGGCTGTAACATAATGTCACAATACTTTTGTCACACAGGCCAAATGATGAGCATCGATATGTTATGAGGCCTTATGAGTTACAAAAAATGATTATTGTTTTTTTTCATGAGTTGTTGATAGATTAACTTGTTGTGAAAGTTTCAACTTGACAAATCAAATTGGGACTGCTTTATAATCAAATTTTATAACTGTGAAATGCAGAAGGATGTGAAGAAATGTGCAATACAAGGCCAGGCTTTTACACCATAGAAACATAGAGAATGTTCTTAATGTATGTTGAAATACATATTTTCATAAAGATCAATATCTTTACGTTTTACCTTTATGTAAAATGTAACGTTCTGATGACGCTACTTGTGTGTATCGGTTCTAACGCTTTGTTGCCTTTATGCAACTCTGTATTTTAAGACTAAGTGTTCTTTGTTGCACCGCACGGAGTGGCAGCAAGTTACAGCAGCTGTGTCCTCGTTGTGTTATTTTACGTGTTTTTATGAATTCCTGTTCTTATGGTGTTATGTTGGTTGTTCTCTACTGCTGCTGTAACACAGAAATTTCCCCACTGTGGGATCAATAAAGTACCTACTCTACTCTACTCTACTCTATCAGTAGCAGTTTCAGTAGCAGCAGTACGGCAGTGGAACAGTGGGCTAAGCAAGGGAAGGTCACACAGCACAGTGTAGAGCACATTTCATTCATTCAAGAATGAAATGTGCTCTACACGGTGATCTGAGTAATGGGGGGCCTGTGCCCCGGTACAGCTTTATGTCTAGCAACACCCCTGGTGTCCACAGTAGGAAAAAGAGAACAGAAAAAGGTGGGGGGGTCAGTTTGTCAGTTATCTGCTGATGTGCTTTTGATGACTGGTGTTGTGGTTTCATCTTTTCTTTTTTCCACTGTGTAAGTACAGTATATACTGAGGTTGCTGAAAACCATCCCAGCATAAACACTGTTTAATGTTATAAATGATTATTTTAGTTATGTTCACTGTCTGTCCAGAAGGAGTGACTGCTCTTCTGCTGTTCTTACTGACATTTCTCCCCTTCTTTCATTTCAGGTTAGTTTTTCATCTTAGCCCAGATTCAGCCTAAGAACAGAAGGTATAGTGACTATTAACCTCTCTAAGGCAAATTTATCATTTGGGATTTTGACAATATCATAAAACATAAGATGCTTCAAGATCTATAACCCAGACAAAAGTTTCATATAACATTAATGGCTGGACTTGTTCTTCTCACCATAGTTTTCCTAATTTCAGCTAAATGTAGCACCACTGTGTGTAGCTTGTGTGTAGTCATGTACTCGCCACTATGTGCTGGTTTGGGCATCAGTCAGTGATCAACAGTGTTTGCTCCCCTGCTCACCTGACAGAGAGCCTCCACTCATGGTCTCTGCTGCCACAGCCAGCAAGTGGGCGAAGTTAGCACTGTCGTTGGTGTAACAGCTGTCCACTGAGCTAATGAGGCTGGTGCGGGCACTGGTCATGTTGTCATCTGTCACCGAGCTCCAGGTGTTCCACAGTGAGCTGTCCCATTCACTGAAGCAGGAGGAAGGTGTGCTCTGGAGGCGGGCTCGACCCAAGTTAATTGGAGGCGTCTCCCCAGTAGCAGGGTCATCCTCTGGCTGAGGGGAGCAGACTGGCCTGCAGATGTAGTCCAGGGTGGAGGAGAAGGGGTGGGACAGGGACGGACGCTGCTCAGGCAGGACACTGCTGACAGAGAGAGATGGCACGGTCACGTGTCTACATATGCTTTGAAAGAAATTGTTGAACAAATGAAAGAACAAATTGTTGAATTAACATTAATAGCTACACAGTATGCAGATGTTAATACTGTTTCTTCTAAAACATAAGAACTTTACTACAAAGATGTGCTAGGGTCTTCGCCAGCTAGGACAAAACTGAGTAAGTGTCAACTGCATTCAACGCCCATCTCCACCACAACTTTACCTGCATCTCTCTGGCTTAGGGCTGAGCTCCAGATACTCTGTGGCTTCCTGTGTTGTCAGTGTGCCACTGTGTTCATCTTCCAGTGACAAGGAAGATGATGCAGTAGGTAGGTGGCTGTAGGACTGGCAGCTCTTGTTGCCTTTGGTGGTGGGTCCTGGTTGCCCACAGTGTCCTGATGCTGCACACACTGACTGCATAGAGCCCATGTCCATGGTAAGTTTTGTTGAGTGACTGGAGCTGAGGAAAATGCAGGAGACACATACATGTAGGAATATGGGTTTTTTTGTCCAACTTCCTCTTAAAGTATCACTTAACGTGTTGCCAGCAGTTCAGTGATGCCATACAAACACATATATGGGACTGAGGTGACATTTTGGAAGCTTATTTGCTTACTTACCAAGAAGTAGATATTGGTTAAATATTAAGCTACACCTTAGCAAAGCTTAGCATAAAGACAGTTAGTTAATAATGGTCAACCTAACAGCACTTCTAAACCTCAATAATTAAACCAATGTACTTTGTTAAATGGAGAAAAAGACAGCAGAGAGCTCAGGGCATTCACTTCAGATATATCGAAGGTGATCTGTGAAAAAAAGGGACCAAAAAATGCACAAATGGAAAAAATAAAAATCTAAGGCACTCTTATAAAAACAAATAAAAAGCTATTATTCAGATGGCTCTCATGATCAGGATTTAACAGTAAAATGGCTTATAGCTCACATGTAGCAGCACAGAACTGCCAGGGTGTAACCTGCAATACAGAGTTGTCCCTTAGAGCTACAATAATGATTCATTTAAAATCTAGCAAGTGCTAGCATGAGAATGGAGAACCACTCGCCTCAGCCCCACCCAGCCCTTCCTCTCCCTATTCACTCCAGTCTGCTCAGGAACTGTCACACAATGTCCGTCTGGAGAGAAACTCACAAAGTTAGCAGGCAGCATTCAACTGATGGACACTAAAATAATGCATCTCACAGAGCCGACTGCCCTGCTTCACGTCTACTGTACGCACAGCACAGCTGTATAGCAACAACGCCTACACCACAGGCAGACACGCCACATACAGACAGCAGTTTGTCAACATCAGCAGAGGATTAAGAGTGAGCTCTGAAAAGGTCATATCACAAAAAAACAAAACCAAACAAATAAAAACACTTTGGCCCTGCATGTCCACAGAAAAGTTTCATGAAGCCCTTACAGGACACATGATGTTTGAAAATGTGAAACTGAATGAAACATCTGAAGAGAGGTACGACAAATAACACATAACGATCACCACAGCTGCAGCAGGTGCCAAACCAGGGTGAGAGATAGCCAGACTCCCAGGGAGAATGACCAGGTTAGTGGAGACTACAACACGTTCACCTGGTGGGCATTAGACCAGTGTAATTCATAGATACAAACTGATTCAACAGCTGTGTCAGACCAAGCTGGTGGCTTGTTTATGAACTTGGCTGGATGTCACTGGCTGATTATTATAACTGAAAGTAGCATCTCAGTGCCATCCTTAGGCCTTAGGCAGCTGCTGTTACAGTCACAAGTGACACATTCCAGCTTGGTTTAGCTACAAGGACAAAGGGTAAAGGTTTGAATCCTTGTTGGACTATGATAAATAATAAAATCACAACATACCAGTCAAGCAGAAAGAATGCCAAATCAGTGTGTGTTTATAAATCCCTCTTCTCTGTCAACTCCCTTTATCTGCTGGAAGCCGACATATGGGCTACTACAGTTCTCATGTAAAGCACTCATCATATCAATTTACTGCAGTTTATGAGCTGAGCACCATCTAAACCAATCAGCTCTCAGATCAGGTGAGAGCCAGGCATTTCCCATCATGCCCTGAGCTCCTGCAGTCAGTGGAGAGCAACTGCAGCGTCTGGCTCAAAAGACTCTAGCTGCTTCAATTCTGTGGGAATATCACTATCAACATACGTGTTATGTCTGAGCAAGCTGGACAGAAACCTAACCAGCATGCATTGTGTGCTGATCACTGTTGAATGATTCTGTGCAGATCAGGCTCACCTCGAATGTGCCTAGTAACTTGATTTGAGCCCTATGTTTTTAACTCTGATCTGTTTGGGTGTTCCACTCAAGTGTGGCTATTGTTTGGGCCTCTCAACAGGAAAAACATAGTTAAAGGAAGGAAGTTTAGGTTATGTCTGACAGTGCACTGAGGAGATCACATGATGCTGCTGCACTGCAGGAAAGCCTTTTTTAATAGGTCTTGTTTTTGAAATAGCATTCAGCTTGATTTTTCTTACACCTGTCATTTCCATTTCAAAGAAAACCGCTGCCTCTAAGCAGGACTATCATGTATGAGAATTAATTAGGTGCATTGTAGAGGATTGGCTATAATGTGTAGTGTGAGTCTGCACAAACATACTGTATATGAAGGAACTGTAACACACCTGGGAGGATTATTAGAGATATTCATCTAAATATATACACGTGATTAAGCAGGAGCCTCGTCAATTCAACACTGATTTATCCTGGTGCCGGCATATGACAGTCTTCCATTTAACCTCTTCATCTGACCTGCCTGTGACTGCACAGAAGTAAGAGGCACAGCTGCAACACCTCTTCATCATCCTCTGCCAGCCAGTGTAGGCTGTGCAGCGTGTGACTTGTCTTACCCTTCTTCTGAGGTGATGCTGTGTGTGTCCATCGTATTGTCTTTGGATACTGAGGGAGGTGGGGGCAGCATGTCCACTAGGTGTACTGACGCAGAGTAATGCAACAGTCGAGGACAGCCAGCAGCTTTACCACCTGCTCCACCTGGACAAAACACTCAGTTATTTATTATGGGTAATCAATTATTACTATCATTGTTTGCAATGGTACATAATCAAGATCAGCTGTAAATGCCACAGACAGGAGTTAGTGTGTGGACAATACCATGTCGACCTGAAGGCACGTGACTGAGTTTGTGGGCACTAGATGGACAAGCCTGGTTTCTGGCTGACAGTAGAGGGACGCTGTTCACAGCATGCAACTCTGGGTGGAAACACAAAAGTTCGTCTATTGCTAACGGACACTCCAGTCAGAGCATATTCCTGTCTGCATTCACACGATTTTACTACATGCTGAAGAAATGTATCAGACAATGAGGTAACATAGTGTGCAGATACAAATAAAGGAGGATGATGAACATATAGATAATAAAGGCATATAAAAACATCGCATTCTCAAGTATGCACAGGTATTCACCTTGCTTGCTGTGGTTTTTTTCCCACGACTCCCTCAGCAGACCCATCTTGGGCTGTGGCCGTATAGCTTGTTTCCATGGCAGCGCCTCACGGCTTCCGAGGGACAAGGTTTTTGCAACAGGCTGAGTGAATATCTCAATGGTCTCAGCTTCTTGCTGATAAGGCAGAGCATGGGGCATTTTAGGGCAGCGTCCAGGACTGTTAAAGGTCTTGAGGTCATTGCCCATTAGATCCACATAAAAAGTGCCATATACACCGCAACTGTCAGTCACGATGGGGACCGCTGAGTCCAAGAAGCCAGGGTCCTTCTTGGATGAGACAGGGAGGCCTAATGAAACACAGAAGAGTAAGTACAGACACTGCACCGCCCCCTGCTTCACTGGAAGCAGACCGAGACACTTTGTTACAGATGGTCTCTGTCCGGTTGTTTGGACTGACAGCTTTCACAGCCAAACGCACTAGAGGTTCTCTGAACCAAGCCAAACAGGCTAACAATGTCTAAACAACAAATGGATAGACAAGCATTTTCATGAAGTGTATCAGGTTTTATCATTTTCATGAAGTGTATCATGTTTTATCATTTTAACACTCTTCATCTCTGCCAACTGGCAGTCAGTACTTACTGGTGCTCCTGATCCCTGGATACTTCTGACCTTGGGCCCATAAGTCTTGATACTTCTGGCTGAAGGCAGGTCTCCATGCTCCAGGTAGCCACGGGGAGTCTGCAGCTGCCATCCTGTAGTGGAGGCAGCACATGTCAAGCCAAAAAGGAAATAAACTGTGTAAACAAGCAAATCTGAGTCATTCAGTCTGAATCAACATTTCAAAGACAACTTCTACATCAGTATAAGTGAATCTTATGTTGGCATGAGACCAAGACATACTGTACTGTAGCTAGATGGTATATTTAAACCAGAGGTACAGATTTTACATACTACACTAACAGTCATAAAACCAGATTTGGCTTTAGCAGTTACAGTATGTGTCATTACCTTTTACGTTACCATTTTTTAATAACCAAACTCTTTCACTTTACCTGTGTTTTATAACAAGATCTTCATTGGCCAGCCTGTGCAACCCTGTGACAAAGCAAATAAATTAATAAAACAAGCATAAAATGTATAACATGATAAGAGCTTTTTTGTTAATTTGACATGAATTAAACATGGTGTGGACTTGCTTATAGCCCCCCAGCTTAGCCACCATGTGCTGGAGTTTACCCCGGTGAACGAGATGGTCGTGTCCCTGCGCCTTCGGGCCGGGGATAGGTCTCTCACTGTCGTTTGTGCCTATGGGCCGAATGGCAGTGCAGAGTACCCGGCCTTCTTGGAGTCTCTGGGAGGGGGTGCTGGAAAGTGCTCTGTTGTTCTATTGGGGGACTTCAACGCTCACGTGGGCGACGACAGTGATACCTGGAGGGGCGTGATTGGGAGGAACGGCCCCCCCCCCTTCACCCGAGTGATGTTCTGTTATTGGACTTCTGTGCTAGTCACAGTTTGTCCATAACGAACACCATGTTCAAGCATAAGGGTGTCCACCAGTGCACGTGGCACCAGGACACCCTAGGATGGAGGTCGATGATTGACTTTGTGGTTGTTTCATCTGACCACCAGCCGTATGTCTTGGACACTCGGGGGAAGAGGGGGCGGAGCTGTCAACTGATCACCACCTGGTGGTGAGCTGGATCCGATCGTGGGGGGGGAAGCAGGACCAGCCCGACTGGAGCCTGAGTCTGAACGGACCATGTTCTCCACCTCCATTGCCGATGCGGCCACTTGGAGCTGTGGCCGTAAGGTCTCTGGTGCCTGTCGTGGCGGCGAACCCCCAAACCC